GAAATCAAACAAAGTTTAGTTTTGGACCCCAATTTGGACAAACTTGAAAACAGGGCCCAAAATAATAATCTTAAGTATGTTTAGAGTCAGCATATCGAAGATCCCAAGATTTCAGTTTTTGTTAAAATCAAACAAAGTCCAATTTTGGACCCTTTGGATCTTAATGTGGACCAATTTGAAAACCAGGCCCAACAACCAAAAATCTTAATACATGGGTAGTTTCAGCATATCAATGATTCATTTTTTGTTTAATTTTGGACCAATTTGAAAACAAGGCCCAAAATCCAAAATCAAAATAAACTGTTAGATTCATCATAGCAAAGAACCCCAATAATTCAATTTTTATGAAATCAAACAAGTTTTAATTTTGGACCATTTGGACATCAATGTGGACAAATTCAAAAACAGGGCCCAAAAATCAAAATCTTAACAAATGGTTAGACCCAGCATATCAAAAAACCCCAATGATTCAATTTTTGTTGAAATCAAACAAAATTGAATTTTTGACCCTTTGGACCATAATATGGACCAATTTGAAAACAAGGCCCAATAACCCAAAATCTCAATACACGGTTAGATTCAGCATATCAAAGAACCTCAAGAATTCATTTTTGTTAAATTTTGAACCCTTTGGAGTTTGGACCTTAAAATGTACCAATTTGAAAACAGGGCCCAATAACCAAAAATCTAAATACACAGTTAGATTCAGCATATCAAAGAACCCCAATAATTCAATTTTTGTTGAAATCAAACAAATTTGAATTTTTGACCCTTTGGACCTTAAAGTGGACCAATTTGAAGACAAGGACCAAAAATCCAAAATCCAAATACACAGTTAGATTCATCATAGCAAAGAACCGCAATAATTCAATTTTTATGAAATCAAAGTTTAGTTTTGGACTATAATTTGGACCTCAATGTGGACCAATTTAAAAACAGGACCCAAAATCCAAAATCTTCACAAATGGTAAGACTCAGCATATCAAAGAACCCTAATAATTCAATTTTTGTTAAAATCAAACAAAGTTTAGTTTTGGACCCCAACTTAAAAACAGGGCCCAAAATCAAAATTTAAGTACTGGTACATGTTTAGAGTCAGCATATCAAAGAACCCCAGGAATTCATTTTTTTTTAAATCGAACAAAGTCAAAATTTGGACCCTTTGGACCTTGATGTGGACCAATTTAAACAAAAGGCTCTCAAGAGCCTGAATCACTCACCTGTAATTTTTTGCTGAAATCTTACATCAATGATTATTATTGCTTTTCAATGGCTTAAAAATGCCATTTAAAATGTTTTTTGTATCTGCCATATTTTCTTCAAAAGCAAAAAAAAGCATTTTACCCCTATGTTCCATTTTAGTCATAGTGGCTATGCTTCTTGACGTACAAGGAAATAAAATACAAAATTTATACTAAATACTTTGAAACTCATATAGCCCAAGTTTGGCTGAAATTGATTCAGCAGTTTCAAAGGAGAAGATTTTTTAAAGTAAGCAAACTAGATGAACAAATTGTGAAAAATTGTCTTTAAACAACAATAACTCCTTAAGGGGTCAATTGACAATTTTGGTCATATAAACTTATTTGTAGATCTTACTTTGCTGAACATTTTTGCTGTTTACAGTTTATCTTTATCTATAATAATATTCAAGATAACCAAAAACTGAAAAATTTCCTTAAAATTACCAATTTTGTGGCAGCAACCCAACAATGGGTTGTTAGATTCATCTGATTTCAGGGCTGATAGAACTTGACCTAATGAATATTTTACCTCGTGTCAGATTTGCTCTAAATGCTTTCGTTTTTGAGATATAAGCCAAAAACTGCATTTACCCCTATGTTCTATTTTAAGCCATGGCGGCCATGTTTTTTGATGAAACAGTAAATAAAACACACACTTTATTTTAGATACCCTAAGGATCATTCAGCTTAAGTTTGGTTGGAATTGGTTCATTAGTTTCAGAGGAGGAGATGTTTGAAATAGTTTACACCAGACGGACAACGACAACAGACGACAAGTGATGGCAAAAGCTCACATTTCCTTTGGAAAGGTGAGCTAAAAAGGGGCCCAAAATCTTCACTAGTGGTAAGACTCAGCATATCAAAGAACCCCAATAATTCAATTTTTGTTGAAATCAAACAAAAAAAAAGTTTAGTTTTGGATCACAATTTGGACCAACTTGAGAACAGGGCCCAAATTTCAAAATCTTAGTACATGTTTAGATTCAGCATATCAAAGCTCCCCAAGATTTCAGTTTTTTTTTAATCAAACAAAGTCAAATTTGGACCCTTTGGACCAATTTGAAAACAATGCCCAAAAATCAAAAATCTTAATACACGGGTAGATACAACATAATAAAAAACCTCAAGAATTCAATTTTTATGAAATCAAACAAAGTTTACTTTTGGAATTTTGGACCTTAATGTGGAAGAATTTGAAAACCAGGCCTCAAATCAAAATCTTAATACATGGTTAAATTTAGCATATCAAAGAACCCCAACAAAGTCAACTTTTGGACCCTTTGGACCTTTTAAATGTGTATCAATTTGAAAACCAGGCCCAATATAAATAACTCTAGAACGGTAAAAGTGACGCCACCAAAATTCAAACTTGATCTGTGTTTTGTGGTAATAAGCATTGTGTATAAGTTTCATAACATTTGGTTGAGGCAAACTAAAGTGAGAGAACTGAAACCAATTTTGGGACGTACGTTCGGACGGATGGGTGGACGGACGGACGGACATACAGACGGACAAGGGTAAAACTTGATGCCCCCTTTCGCTACGGCAGGGGCATAAAAATCTATTCAGATTCCAGATATTGATTATCAAGCTCTTCTACCATCTGGATAATAAAGTTTTGTACAAAGATGCATCCGGAACCCCTTTGTTTTGCATGTGACAATAAATTAGATCATTTTAGCATTTTTGATCTATTTAAAGCATTGGCTGCTAAGTGGGTAATCATCAAGTCCAATGAACAATTCTATAAGGCACTGTAGATTCATTTATTTTTGTGGATACCAATTTCGTGGATTGAGGAAAAATTATGTTTTTTGTGGATATTCGATTTTGTGTTGCTGCCACAGTCTGCATACAAGCCAATACAAAATTTGTATTTCATTGAACATTTGAATTAGTTGGTTTACCAATACCCAGGAAATCCTCGAAAATTGGTATCCAACGATTAATAATGGATCCACAGTTATGCCTAAAGCATCATCTGTCCATAATCTTGTTCAAACTAGCCAAGAAGTTTCATGATCATTTCTAAAAATTTGAAGAATGATGATGATACACACCAAGTGATGGAGATATACATGGCCTGTGTCATACCTTGACAACAGAAACCTCTTCCCCCTTCATTTGTCATCCAGACTTAAATGAAATAAAAGATAGGTTTTCTCAAATAAATTTATTTACCAATTAATTTATATTATTATCACGCATCGATCATGATACAAAATACTCAAATGAAACCAAACACAATCTGCTTAATTAGGTGTTTATATATATCAAACAAATTGTAATTAGTGATATGCTTTTGGCCATGGAAGAACATTATCTTTACAATAAAAAGGAGGAAAAGGATCTGCATCATGGTTTTGGTATCATTAACAAAATATTACAATAATACAAAATAAATGACAGTACTGAGGATTCTTTCTAAATTTCCTGGCTGTTATAAAAATCATGTTTGTTTTGTAATACATGTACCCATATTAAATTTTGTTATCAGTAGTTCATATTTAAGTAACTATTATGTGTTTAATATATAAACTTGAGGCTTTCCATTGCTTACCAAACTTATAAAAAAATAATAGAATTTCATCAAAATTAGAATCCTCAGTTTGTCTCAACTTTTAAAAAGGACATTAAAAAACGTAACAATTCTTATACAAAGGAAAACTATGGTAAAAACTACAATATAAAAATATTTAAAAAAAATACATGAATCAAATTAATTTTTGAGAATAAGACCCCGTTCACACTAGCATTTTTTTTTTTCGATCTAATTTGAATCGATCTAAATAAAACCAGCTAGCATTCACATTATCTTTAACCATAACGATCTCTATCGGTCTAATCTGAACCACTGCGTTCACACTACAATTAAAAATGCAATCGATCTGACCTAATTACCCGTAAAACTGTAAACATTGTGTATAAATAGAAATAATTAATCAAATTTATGTGTTGGTACACTGAAACACACTCTTAAAAAACTGGATGAAGTTAGTGTTTCTCTTGAATCACAAGTTCAAATTTTGATACTGGTGTTCTTGTAGTTTTCAATAATTTTGAAACAAAAAACTGTAGGAAGGAAGAAATGCTCCGGTTCTGAAAAAAATCAACAAAAAAACCCAACAAAAACAACAGAAGAAAAGACACACAAATTTATGGTACGGCGAAGACAACTTTTTTTCCGTTTGTTTTTACTTGCATGTACACAAAGGTCTGTTTTTAAACAACGAACCACCGATATATACTGGGGTGTTATGTTATTACACTTGTAGTTTTGTCGCTATACATGCGCATAGATTATTTTCAATTCAATCGTACTAGTTTAAACCGATCTTTGCGTTCACATTTAAAGTTAGATCGGTTCACTTTAGATCGATTCAAACTAAACTACCTCTTTTGGTGTTTTAGTTTAGACCAATTGAAGATCGATTCAAAGCGTTCACATTAGCTCTTATACCGATCTAGTTTAAATCGATATAAATGTCCTGGTGTGAACAGGGTCTTACTCAATTTATTTAATGGGTAATTAAAATAATCTAAATATCTTTATCTGTGCAAGGAAATAGTTAACTGCATTTCATTCCACATTTTTAACCCCAAGCTGTTTTATGATATAAAGTTTCTTGACTCCCACCCAATTTTTAAGCAAAGTTATTTTTTTAATTTTAGTAGTATATTTTTTTTCCTTTTAGAGAACCAGTACTTTTTCCCAAGGAAGGGAGATAACTAGTATGGAGTTATTTTATAGTCTGATTTATCCTTTAGGAAATGTGCTATAGTGACGAAGGGTTTAATCTGTTTGCTCATCCATCTACAAATTTAACCTTCAATTAAAGGATTAAATGGACTTTTCCCAAACTTTCAAATAATCTACAGTATCTGTCAACACTGTGTACCATTTTTTTCACTTAAAATTCTAAAGGTTCTCCAATTGAAGAATGAATTTTTCCATTTTTTACATCTTATTTATCATCTTGAAGGATAGGATGGTTCAGCTGATATGAACATAGATTTAGTTAAAGCAGATTTTGAACATGCATTCATAAATCTTGCAATTTTGTCAATCTTCAAGGACTGTATCAATAGTTAAATTCATTCATTTTCTTTTTTATTCTTTAAGAAAGAGTTAAAATCCTAAAGATGTCAGATCTCATTACGTAAGTAAATATTTTGTATAGCATGGATATGCAAAATCTATTAATTTTCCCCACAAACTCAATCATTTTAAGGCTTGGTATAACAAGATTTGATAATAAAAACAAATAAAATTACATAAAAACCACTAAAATCATATAAAACCAGATAAAACACAAATCTTGTTATAGCAAAGCCTTATATAAAATTTACTTAAAATCTACAGTGGTGATATATTAGTGTTTTAAAGCCAAATTTATTCTGAATTCTTGTTAATGTTATGATAATTTGGTCATAATGAGATCCAACTTATGGCAACTATTAAAAACAAGATTAAAAGTTTTAAAAACACAATAAAATATAATTCAAACAAACCTATCCTTCACATGACAGCATTGTTGTATGAGATGCTTCGCAAGTTAATCAAAAATATTTAGAAGGTCTATTCATTTCAATTGGGAACTCCCCAAAAAATTCATCGTGAAAAAATAATATACACACTGCCATTAGCCAGAAGATTATCTGAAAGTTGCAACGAAAATCTTCCAAAAGTATATAAGCCATTGATGAGAGATGATGATGGACAAACAAGCAGACAAATCATCTTTAGCAGCCCATTTCATGCTTGCCTAAAGTGCAAAAGGTCTTGGGATTTGATCCCCGGCTGGGTCTTTCATAAGAATTGAAATTTGTACTTCATGCTCCCCTGCTAAGCATGCAGCATTTAGGACTAAAAGCAAATATTGGTTGGCTCGAGTACGAGTCATATCTTCCTATGGACTATTACATGGTGAACTAGCACATTAAAAAATCCTGCTCACAGTACTGGTCTATTACAAAGCAGGGTCTATATTCATATCACATTATTATGTTCTTGTCCTGATTATGCGTTTAATATGCCACTGGACGTTAAAAAGCGGTCCATCCACCAAAATGTTATTTTAAAGGTTCCTGCTTAATCTTGGGTGGGGTATATAATTCTTAAGAAATTGTGTACAATCCTAAAATAATAAACCTTAAAAAATTTCCTTAAAACCTAAGTAATGACGATTAAAAAAAAACAACATAAAAATCAATCCCATAAAAATTAAACACTAAACAAACTGCAAAAACTGTGCAATTATTTTCACTTGAGTGGCCTCAGATGCTGAATAATGTATTTTATAAATGAAACCAATAAATAAAACTAACAGCAATTAAAAATTTGTATAAATGTACAGAAAGGGGTGTTAAATCCAAACAGCTAGTGTTTTCATTTCCAGGAACCAAGTTTATATTGCAACAAAAATTCAGTACTTAAATTGTTTAATAGGGGATTATTTTTATTCCCTTTAGCATTTGGTCATCAAAGTCCTACTTTATTGGTTTCTAACAAGCATAATTCATTTCACAAAGCACTTGCAATACTCACAGGTACATAACTTACAAAATATATGTAAACTGGTGCAAGTCTTATGGGTACTTTGTGAAACCATAAGTCATACCTTTGGAACCCCTCAAATAACAATAATTTCACAGTTTTATTTTCCATCAATCACAACACAATAATTGAATGCAAGGAAAATGATTCAAAAGAATATAATTCAAAACAGCAATAAAAACAAAATTTGTTAACAATTCAATCTTTTGCTTTCAAGACTTCTGTCTACGGATTCTACACAGAAAGATAGCAACAGTTCATCTGATGTTTTGCAGGATTATTGTCTGATTTTATCATACCAGGCAGTAACAGTAACGCTTTCAACTGTAAAAGAAATAAAGTTAAATTTCAATGGTTAATTCTTTTAAATATTAAAATAATCTTAAGGGTATATTATAAAATTTGAGTGCAATTTTTTAAATTAAAAATACATATCAATGAATCCGAGAACTCTGTTTTCTACTTATATCTATTATTCCAAAATATATGGTATCAAAAATGTGCAGCTATTACAATAAACTGTTTACACAGAGATATGTCTCGCCTGTCGGCATAAAGTAAAAAAAAAGACAATCTGATGGACAGCAACATTGCTTGTTAATTCAAAGTCTCTGGACCATGATCTAGTGGGCAGGGCCTGAAAATTGTCAACAAACTGAGATGTACAGACAGGTAATGTAATTTTATAGAGAATATCGTTGTCTGTTGTAAGTAGTTCCTATCAATTTAACTTAAGCAGAAAACATTGAATATTGCTAATTAATTCAAAGTCAATGGACCATATCCTAGGGCACAGGGCCTCAAAATAGTTAACAGAAAACTTAACAATAGACGCCGCTGGTAAAGCAATCCCTATGTCTCACTTTCCACGATTTTCATCGCAGGTGAGACAAAAATGAAGACTTCAATACACCAAAGTAAACTTTCTGGATTTTACTACTACTTGACCTCAAAAACCTGAACAAATATTTGAAATATCAAACTTATGCAGAAGCTGCTGATAAATTAACTCTACAATTTTCATACTCACCTAAAAACACTTAAAATAATGTCTATTTAGTAATTTGGTTGTTATTGACGCTTACTTCAAAAATGAGTAGGAATAAATTCATTTGAAATTTGTAATGAAAAATGCAAGACTTAATGAAAGGCAGTTATCATGCATCTTGTTTAAGACAGCACTGGTTTGACATAACATCCCCTTCATATCTCTTATTAAGAACATGCTTATAGGTACAGCATTTATCAAATGACAAGTGAGACAAAAATATCACTCACTACTGATTCACCTCTAAAGTAAAGGTACATATAGATTCTTACATTGGTACCAGTGGATTATTGGATTTATCCAATCGCGATAGTTAAAATATCATCTTTAAAATTGATAATTTAACCATCTAGATTGGATAAATTCCGCTTATCCACAAGTAACTTTTTAAGAATCTGTTTCTCTAATGATTATCAAATAAATTTTCATTTTTGATAAACTAAAATCCCCTTGAGTGCCTTCCACATTCTACAAAGTTGTCAATTTCATTAACACCTGTTAGCATATTTTGATTCATCCTGTGAGTTGATAAAGGTTATGACCCTTAAGCTCATCCAATCATCTTCTGAGATCATCGGCAACCACACTGTGATAAAATTTTTTCCTACAATGGGTCCGGAAACGGTTAAATTGTGAGAAAACATTTTATATTGAATAAAATTGAGAATGGAAATGGGGAATGTGTCAAAGAGACAACAACCCGACCACAGAACAGACAACAGCAGAAGGCCACCAACAGGTCTTCAATGCAGCGAAATCTATTTAAGATAGATATATAGATATCTAGGGGCATTCACAATTAGATAACATAAACAAATTTAAATTGTATGTTTATGAATAAATTCTCACCTTAAAACAGCTCTAATTATGAATCCCAGCAAATAACCCCAAGGAAACTTGTGAAGCTAACCTGGAATACAAAGTTGGTCAGTTATTCTAATCTTCCAAAAAAATCTCTTTATCATCGTAATGAATTAAATAGTACTAGGATAACAAAACATTTCTTAGAAACAAATATTTGGTATTCTGAATAATAACCTCATGGTTTAAAATATTAACTTCATATTTTGTATTTCATCATACTGTACAATTCATTTTTTGGTACTTTAACCTTTATGAAATTGATGTCAAATACTATAAAATTATTCAAAAAAGCTTGAATACCTACCAACATGTTAACAGTATCAGGTATCCAAGTCTTACTCCCAACACCTTGAAAAACATCATTACAACAACCTAAAAAAAGAAGAAAGAAAATAAACTTTTACATACCAATCTATGCCTTAAAGAAGAATAACAAAATCATGCTATGTTTTATTTCTTACAAAATTGTATATTAGTATCTTTAATATGTAAAATTGGTATACCACTGGTAGAAAACAAACAAATACATGTAATAGGGTACAAGTGATTATGGTTGTTATGTTAAAAACAATGGTATTTTTTTAAGGCCACCCTTAACATATTACAAATTGTTTGTTTGGTGTTACCGACCCATGCCTTGTTTGGTTGGTAGGTAGGGTCTTTTTTTGGCCAACAACATAAGTTTCATGATTTAGACAAGAAAAAGATGTTATCCACAAAAAAAAAAATTTTTAAAAATTGAAGCGATTCCTGTCATAAAATTTTCCGGGTAGGCTGTTTTTTAGATGGGTAGATAGGCAACATCAAATTATTTATTTTTGGCCTAATGATGTAGATATCCTAAAAAGCAAACACTGATAGAAAAGAACCACTAAGAAAACAATTATTTTATAGGCCTTTTATAAAAGTGTTACCATTAATTTTGTGGAATATTTCAACTTACCACATATTTCTCATGGTGAAGCCTCAGACTTAGTTGAAGATTTAATTGACCATCTTCCTTAGAGCTGCGTTCCTGGCTGCCAAGGTGGCTGTCCTCATTATCTTATTGTCAATCTTTTTTTTGTCCATTTGTTTTTAGAAATAAAGTAATACATATAAAAAATATCAGATGCACTTTTAAATTATCATCTTTTTTGAAAATTTCACCAAATCACTTGTAGTGACCCATGATTTCTCCCACCCTACATGTCTATTATTTAGACTTCTGTTTACATTTTTTATTTCCAGAGCTCTAAATAGTAGTCAATATCAGCTACATCTGATATTTGATAAAAAACAAACTTGTACAAATATAGATATTTAAGTAAATAAAAAGATACATTCCCTATCACAGAGGAAAATGAGGAGTTAAACAGGGGCGTTACCTCCCTTTGAACTAAATTTCACCCTGTTGGATTTCCACATTCTTCCTATATTTAACAAATATACAAGATATAGTATAATTAAAAATGAAATAGAATTTAATAGCAAATATCCAACACATTTCAATAACATACTAAGTACTTTAAGGAATGTTCACCTAGGTGGCAGAGTGGTCCAAGTAGTACAACTACTGTATCACTAGCATGTCAACGCTGAGGTTGCGAGTTCGAACCCCAACATGGTAGGTACCTTTGACTAAAATCTTAATTAACTAGGGTTGCCAGTTTTCCTGTTGAAAGGTCTGGTTTTCTCCAGGCACTCAGGTTCTCCACCAATAAAAACTGGCAGCCAAGATATAGCCAACCATACTGGAAGTGGTGTTAAACTCTAAAAATCAATCAATCAATCTATTTTTCTCAAGATGCTCTTCAACTATGCTTCTTGCAAAATATTCTTTTTTATGCTTTGTTACAAACTCAAGCTTAAAATAACGAAAAGTTGGAAAAGATATATATTTAACAATTGCAAAACCCCAAAAAATACATTTCAATAAAATAATATTTTTTTTTTTCTTTAGATTCTCAATTCTTAACATACTGGAAGTGTTTTGACTAGACACAGACCATTATTAATATAACAAAAGCAGGTCTTCAAGTAAAATTGGTCTGTTTCACTTCATTTCAAAAGTATGAATTCAATCTAGTCACACTGGAGAAAAATAATGAATAAGATCTGATCTATAAAATCATCATTAAAAAGCTACATACCAAAAACCAGTTCAGTATCCATAAGCAGGATAGAAAAAATGTCAAGACAATAATGGACATGAGCAGAGCTACCTGAATATAGCCAATGATTTAATGGAAAAAAGAGAAATTTTAAAATTTCAAATACAAGTTAACTTACAACTTCCAATCCTGTTGAAAATAGAGAATCTTTACACAATTTCTTTTTTTTTGTAAAAAATTATAAAAAAAATTTCCAAATACACAAAAATTGTCTGAATTACATTCTTTACTGTTTATACAGTTCTACGACACTATCACTTTTATGCAGCCACAGTAAAAGTTACCTGAAAAAGAAACATCTCTGTCAAAAAATATATTAAAATTGAAACAATATTTTTAAATGCAAAAGAATAATTAACTGGGCATTACAATTATGATGCATATAACATTACTTTTACTTTGTTGTAAAGTGATTTATAAGCAAAACAAGGATGAAAATCAAGTCTTTAGTTAATGTTTGGCATATTTGTTTTTCATTTATTGCTTTATCATATATCAGGATTTTGGTTTTCTCTTCTGAATTGTTTCACATTTTGTCATGTAATGGATTTTTATAAATTACTACTGGTATACAGTATAGTTTTTGCTCATTGATGAAGGCCGTACAGTGACTTTTAGTTGCTTACATCCACATCATTTGGTCTCTGGTTGATTGTCTCACTGGCAATCATACCACATCACTATTTTTATATATGGTTATAATTTTAGATAACAAAAAAGAGAGATAAGATTTCCTAATTGTAATTTTTTCCCTCCCTTATTTATCTTGATACCGGTACCTCCTTTGAGATTATATATACAATTATAAACTTAAGAAAACATTAAAATGTAAGATCTACATCTGTGCATAATAAAAATTTAGGGCATTTACATGCTCTTCAGTGGAGGATCCAGAAATTTTCTTAAGAGGGGCCCGCTTCAGTCATGCTTCAGTGATTCCCTATATAATCAACCAAATTTTTCCCACAAAAGGGGGGGCCCGGGCCCCCTGAAAAACCTTCTAAATCCGCCTCTGCTCTTGGATGAATAGTTCATAAATCTCTGTATAGGTTCTTACCATAAAAGTCAGCTCCAATGGCCATTCCCAGCCTCAATCCTTAAGGAAAAGCTGTGATGCTAACCTGAAATATAAAAATGCTTAGCCATTCAAAATTGTTTAAAAGGTATACTGTTGGTATGCTATATGTATATTATATAAAAATTGGTTATATATGTGTAATAGATAAGAACATATCGATTAGACAGCAATCCAACAAACTTTAACATAATGAATTCAGATTCTTAAATTACTCATATAATGGTACTGACAAAAGAAAGAGTAGAATTCTGACCAAACTCTTATTAACCTTCAAGCCTCAGGAGCACATACTATTTTTGATAAAACATTTTTTTTTTAACAGGAATAACATACTGGTACCAACCTATGTGTTAGCTGTGTTAGACCACCAAAGTCTTATTCCCACACCATGAAAATGTGTCACAGAAAGAACCTAACATGAATTAAAATTGACACATTATATATTTTACAAAAACCATTTCTATGTCAACCTAAAATTTACTAAACATTTGTTCTGATTTCTAACCTCATGTACACAATAATAAATGACACGTTTGTAAAATTAATATAAAAAATGGAAAACAAAAAAAAGTTGAAGGCTTATTTGAATTTCAACTGGACAAAAATTATCTGCATATTTTACGAGTTATCTCCCATTGAATAAACAAATTTTGCTGTTAATTGTACTAGTCTCCTCTTGAAATTTTATTCCTATCTCTGGATTAATTATTCCTTATTCAATTGAAAATCATGTTCATGTACCTGGTAACTTAAAATATTAAACTGGCAAATTAATTTGTCTGTGATTTGCATGCAAGAGATAAAATGCACTTTTATCAAATTGAAATATTTCTAAACAATGTATAGAAATTGTTTGGCTTAAATAAACTTGCCTTATTAATTTCTTGGTAAAACCTCAGACTTGGTTGAAGATTTAATTGACCATCTTCCTAAGAGCTGCTTTCCTGGCTGCCAAGGTGTCTGTCCTCATCTTGTTAATCTATATTTTTTTTTTTTTTCTTTTAGAAATAAAGTTATATATATAAAAAATATCAGATGCAAATTCAATTAATCACCTTTTTTGAAAATTTCGCCAAATCACTAGTAGTGGCAGTGACCCGTGATTTCTCCCACCCTTTATATCTATTACCTAGAGCTTTGTTTACATTTTTTATTTTACAGAGCTCTAAATAATAGTCAATATTAGCAAGTATACACCTGATATTTAAAAAAAATCAACTTATACAAATGTGAATATTCAAGTAAATTATGTTATGTATTTCCCAATATCGAGGAAATTTCAAAAAATGAGGAGTTAAACAGGGGTATAATAAATTACCTCCCTTTGACCTAAATTTCACCCTGTTAGGACTCCACATCACTGCTATATTTAACAAAAATACAAAAAAATGGTATAATTAAAATAAAAAATTGTTTGATATAAAAAATCCAACACATTTTAATAACATATTTGATACAATTTTCACCTAGGAGCCTTGGTGGCAGAGTGGTCTAAGAGGTCAAACTATTGTATCACTAGCCTGTCAATACTGATTTTTAGAGATTAAACCTGACATGCGGTAGGTGCATTCTACTTAAATCTTAATTGACTAGGACTGCCAGTTTTCCTGCCAAAAGTTGGTGGTTCTCTCCTGTTACTCATCTCAACCAATAATAAAATGGCAACCAAGATATAACTAATCATGCTGAAAGTGGCATTTAACACCAAAAATCAATCAATCAATCTATTTTCACCCAAGATATTCCTTTACTATGCTTCATGTGAAATAATCTTATTTTTTTAAAGCTAAAAACCATGCTTATAATGAAAAAAAGTTGAAAAAATATATATCTAACAATTAAGGAAACCCCAAAAAGACATTTCAATAAAATAACATTTTTTTTTTCTTTTTCTCTATCTTTCTTTTCTTTTTTTTTTTTTTTTTTTAGATTCTCCATTCTTAACCTACTGGAAGTGTTTTGACTAGACAGTGACCATTATTAAGATGTCTTCAGTAGGTCTACAAGTAAAAATAGTAAAATTGGTCCATTTCACTTCATTTTCAAGTACGAGTTAAAATTGAAATTTCAAATACAAATTAATCTACAACTTCCAATCTTGTTGAAAATGGAGAATCTTTACATATTTTTTTTTTTTTTTTTTTAAATCAAAATTTTTCCAAATACACAAAAATTGTCTGAATAACATTCTTTACTGTTACAGTTCTACTACACTATCATTTTCATGCAGCCACAGTAAAAGTTACCTGAAACAGAAATATACATTCTTAAACATATTTGTCAAAACTATGTGAAAATAGAAACAATATTCAATGCAAAAGAATAATTAACTATGCATTACAATTATGATGCTTAGATCATTTCTTTTACTTTATTGCCAAAATTTGAAACTAGCAGTCTTTTTAAGCAAAACAAAAGGATGAAAAACAAGTTGTTGGTGGCCTTATAATTTTTTATTTGATTTTCTTTTTATCTTTTTATCATATATCAGACCGTTCATTTTCTCCCTTGAATTGTTTCATATTTTGTCATGTTGGGGCTTAGTATAGTTTAGTATAGGTTTTAATCATTTTTAATGGCCATATGGTGACCTTTTGATGCTTACATCCACATCATTTGGTCTCTGGTTGCTAAATGTCTCATTGGCAATCATACCACATCTCTTAATTTTTTATATATGGAGACAATTTTAGATGACTGAATAAAAGATGAATGTGGTTGAGGATACGAATGCCCCCGCTCAAGCATATCAAATTTCTGCGTTATAAAGGGGCATAACTCTAGAACGGTTAATGACATACTGCCAAATTTTAAACTCTGTGTGTGTTGTGGTTCTTAGCATCATAGAAAATGAATGAGGAAAATTTAAGTGAGAGTGCAGAAACAAAAAAATTTGCAGTTTTCCAAGTTGTAAAGAAGCATAATTCTAGACTAAATGCCTCACTGCCCAATTCAATCTCTGTCTGCGAGTTTTGGTTCTCTAGCATTGTGTATGAGTTTCATAAAATTTGGATTGGAAAAACTTGTGTGTGGAAACAGAAATGGAACGGACCAAAGGACAGACGGACGGATGGAGTGACAGGACGGACGGATGGTAAAGGGTAACACTTAATGCCTCCATTGCCTACAGCAGGGGCAAAAAAACAGATTTCCTAATTATGATTTTGATTTCCCTTTTCTATCTTGATACCTCCTTCCAGATTATATACGACAAGCGTAAAATTCTCTTATCTCCATGTCTGTAACTAAGGAAGCCGACATTTTGAATTCCGGAATATATTGACATGTAATTTCTCCAATAATAAGCAAAAAAACTCATTTTTGGACCTAAAAATCTTCTTTTCATCAAATTTTATTACATTTTGAAGCAGACAAGAAGCCAGAAAACTGCCGGTGTTTACCTTTGATGCCGGAAGCACACCTATGACGTCACCTAGTTTAGGTGCCAAAGAAACAACATCATTTCTCGGAATTTTCGTTTAATGAAAATTTTACACTGAAATAATGTCAAATTGATTGATTTGTTTATTTTGCATTTAGAGTAGAGATAACTATTGTATTTGAAGCTTTGTGGACGTTCATCGGTAGTAATACTGTCGCAAATACCTGTTTACCTGCCTCCGCTATGCTTCAAATACAATAGTTATCTCTAAATTCTACATCTGTGCATAATAAAAATCTACCGCATTTACATGGTCTTGGATGAATAGTTCATAAATTTATGTATTTGTTCTTATTTGTTCGCTACGCGTCCCCAGGTAAACTAAATTTGCAACAGTAAAACTACCGATGGCCGTCCGCAAAGCTTCAAATACAATACAGTTATCTCTAAATTCTACATCTGTGCATAATAAAAATCTACCGTATTAACATGGTCTTGGATGAATAGTTCATAAATTGATGTATTTGTTCTTACCATAAAAGTCAGCTCCAATGGCCATTTCCAGCCTCAATCCTTACGGACCAGCTGTGATGCTAACCTGAAATATAAAATGCTTAGTAATTCAAAATTGTTTAAAATGATCACTGTTGGTATACTGTATGTATATTATATAGAAATGGGTTGTATATTATGTGAAAAAGATTTTAAGAACAAATCGATAAGACAGCAGTCTGACAACCAAACAATTTTTTACGTAAACAATTCAGATCCTTTATAATTTACTCATATAAATGTACTGATTAAAGAGAGAGTAGACTTCAGACCAAACTCGTATAAACCTTCAAGCCTAAAGGACATAATTTTTACAAATAATTTTTATCATACATTTGTTATTATTTTTCAAAACAGGAAAGACAAACTGGTACCTACCTACGTGTTAGCTGTATTAGACCACCAAGTCTTATTCCCACACCATGAAAACATGTCATAGACAGAACCTAAAAAGGAATTAAAATTGACACATTATATATTTTACAAATCCATTTAAATGTCAACCAAAAATTTATTACATGTATACAATAGTATAACATCAACACCAGTTTGTAAAATTGATATAAAAGATGGAAAAACAAAAAGTAAAAGGGTTTTGATCGGAATTAAACTGGACAAAAATCATCTGCATATTTTACAATGAGTTATCTCCCCATTGAATGAAAAGAATCTTGCTGTTAATTGTACTTGTCTCCCCTTGAAGTTTTATTCCTAGCTTATGATTTACTATTGCTATTTTAATAGAAAATCATGTTCATGTACCTTATAACTTAAAATATTAAACTGGTAAATTAATTTATCAACATATGAATGTGGAAGGTAAGAATGCTTCTGTTTGTTGTCTTAATATGCATTTTTTTTTTAATATTTCTAGAGATTGTATAGAAATTGTTTGGCTTTAATAAACTTGCCTTATTATTTTCTTGGTAAAGCCTCAGACTTGTTGAAGATTTAATTGACCATCTTCCTTGGAGCTGCTATCCTTAATGCTTTCTGATGCTTTTCAACTTCATTCACTGAATCCATTTTATCCATTGTACCCAATTAATGAAATGTCCTTTTCATTGTATTTAATAACATATACAATTGTCGCCAGAATTTTCCAAGGTATCTCACAACATTTGCTTTCTCCAATCATTGCAACTAGAGTAACTCTTGATATAAAATACAAATAAATTCATAAATAAAATACTGTAAAAATACCAGATGTGCTTTTAAACAGGTAACTTGTATTTTGAAACTTTACCAAATGTTTTCAGTACCCTACAATTTCTTCAACCCACTATAAGTATTATTTAGATATATGTTTACAGTTTTTTTTTATTTACAGAGCTCTATATAATAGCTTATATATCAGTTAGCAGACATCTGATATGTACTTATACAAATGTAATAAAAAAAGGACAGCATAGTACTTCCTAACACCTATAAATCACCAACATTTTTTAAATATTTTGAAGCATAGTTTAATAGAATACCTCTTCTTTTAGGGTTTGCTACTCTTTCACATAGGTATGAATGTGTGCTCAATTCTCATGGAACAGTAGTCATGTATATTCCAAGAATTGATCAAAGCCTCAGATAGCTGAGTTGTGCAGATAGTTCTCAAAAAATGGAGAATAGTCGATACTGAAATTTAAACAGATGGAAATATAAAAATGTAAAAATGAGGGATGATGCTCAACATGATCAATAGATTTGAAAATCTCTGTGAAGTTCCAAAGTTATGGGTTAAAAAATTTTGCAATCATTGTGTGAGGTTTCAAAGATCTAAATTGAAAACTCCAGAAGTTGATTACACAAAGGTACCGTCTTTGCAAATTTTTATAAAAAAATATTAAATTCACATTTTTTGGAAAAATGGTGAAAATTTCCTCAACCAATTCCATAATAGCAGGTACACAAATTCAACATGTGTGCAATCTTTCTGTGAAGTTTCGTTGGTGCAAGAAACACTGAAAGAAAGTATAATACAAATAAATTGCAAAATGGTTCTATGAAGTATGAAATCTTTAAATTTAGTAAACAATTAGTTATAAAAAATTGTGAACTCAAAGAAATATTACTGATTCCTTATAAAAAAAAATTTCAAAATTAAAATTGCATGAGAAAACGTCCATAAATTTGTTTTTTTAAACTATCACACTTGAAGAGAAATATTTTACAATTCAAAAAAGTGATGTTTTTGTTCCCAAATTATGTTTGATAGCATATTGATTGGTGATATTAAATTTTTGTTCATAAGACTGCTTCCAATGACATCTGATGGAAAAGAATGAAAATCACTGATATCTTGACATTAATAGAGATGGACTGACAGTGATAACTCTTGGGAACTGACAGTCAAACCAGAATCAGCTGCAGTCAATATACAGACTTAGAGAAAACACCTCTTTTTCGCTATTGGGAAAAGAAAACATATTCCTAGTTAAATCTAAGATAGTCTGGTTTCCTTTAACTTCAATAAGTGATTAAATCCCAAAAGTCTTGAACAGGGTCTAATATAAATCTAAAACTGTTTAGTTAATAGAACTGATTGTATGCAATTCTTGAAAATTGTTGGGAGTCTCGAAAAGAATCCCTGTTATAATGGAACCAGTTCCATTTACATGGACTATTATGGACTAATGGGAAACTTCTTTGAACTAATGAGGCGAATGTGGGATCCCTGTTAAAGAGTAAAGCTCTCAGATTCCTGTTGGACTGGCCACAAGTTTCAAAAAGGGTTAAACTAAGAATAGCTGCACTTAAGTATCAATAATTGTTTTTTACTCATTTTTTTTAAAAAGTGTTTTATGATGACAAGTGCTTTACCTATACTATAATTACCAAATACAAAGAAATATAAAGATTAAATGGTTTGACTCCAAAGAGCAAATTAATTTATGCAGTAATTTAAAAAAATATGATAGGGTTAAGATCAATCTAATACCTTTTTCAATAAAAGATCTAAATTGTTTAAAATGAACTTCATATTTCAACAAACTTATGACAATTCAAATAGTAAATGCACATTCATTTGAATTTTTTTTGTGTGTTACAATCTACACAAGATGAAAAGGAACAAATGGACCTGTATTCAACTCTATTTAGTGATCTTGAAATTGCAAAAAAAGCAATATTATTTCAAGAAATTCTGTAAGGTAGATAAAATATACAAGGTTTGATATCACTTAATTCATTGATTGCAGAATGGCTTTGGCAGTTAAAAAGAGAAATTCTATGAAACAGGAAAATTTTAAGAAGATTAAAGCTTAAACTTTTTAAAAAATCTTTTCTACAAATCATGATGAGCAATTGTTAAATCGGATTAACAAGTAAAAAAATTAAAACATTAATACCAGTTGTTATTTATTTTTATGATAATAATAAACAAAATAGTTTCTTTATATTTTTAAACATAAAAAATACCATGATTTGATGCCAAACAGACATAGAAGACATGGAAAATATCCTGTTCCCCAATTTTTTTTACAATCTTGAAATTGATAATAAAATCAAAATTTGAAGCAAGTTATCTCCCTTACTACATCGTTCTGGTTTACAGCAGTGTCAAGAAATATAAAGAAATAAAAATAGAGAATTAAAAACAATCTATCATTCCCTAGTGTTGGAGGTGAGAGTTGAAAATTAACCCAAGCAAAGAGAGATAACTTAGTTTACTCTATGATATGAGGATTGAGAATTTGAAATAACTCTTGGAGATCTCAATGATAGTTTTAGATAACTCAGTATGAAGTTTGTTTGGGTATTGGAAATTATTAATAGTATTTTCAATTATTTTTTTTCAGTCAAAACATAAATGATTATAATATATATATTATAGAAATTTATAATAATATACCAAATATTAAATACTTTTACAAGCTTTCAGTCATGCAAGAATTAATAACCGTTGTGATTATGTTAATTCCTTTCAAAAAATCTATTAAACATCAAAATACTATTTTGTACGACAGAATTCATGATTACCTTGATATCAATCAGTGCTTTGAAGAAGTAGATATCACAAAAGAAATTTTAAAGAAGCTGAAGTAAATTTCACTTCTTGAATCATTTTTCACCACCTGAATCCAACTTAATATACAAAAATATGTTTTATAATTTTTCCATTTTTAATGCATCATAATATGACAAATATAATTTAGATTTTGATTTAAGATATTTGCTTTTAAAAATCTTGAAAATAAGAAATTAAAAAAAGTGTTGACTATTGTACAGATTATATATATGGCAGTTTTTAACGACCTTGACTGGCTATACAGCCCTTGCACGGTCGGTAAATAAAGATTCAAAGTTCAAAGCAGTTTTATGCTCTAACATTGGATTTTTTTTTATCTTAATGACTGTTAAAATATCAAATATTTTTCATTTCAGAATTACATATAATAAGATTCCTTTGAATGATGAACACCATACCCTTAATACCCAAAAACCAAAGAACCATCCAAAGAACAATTGAAACAAACAGAAACAGAAGATATAACCAACCCTACTACAAGCTTATACACCAATAAGTAACTATGTTATATGTTAGTAAAGACGCAGCGCTCCAAGCATAATGTATTTCTGAAATGATAACTTGATATTTGCTTAGTCTAAAACACCAAAACACTGATAATAAAGTTTAATGTTTGCTACGAAACTTTGAATGCACTAGACCAGGAGTTTAAATGAATTTCAAGTACTGTTATTCTACAATCTGACAACCACGATGTATTGAAAATATTAGAATTTTAGAAAAATTGTCTCATTATAAATCTGAAATTTTGATTTGAATGACTTTTTTTTTTACTGTAGTGCAATAAACAAAACTGCATTTATTTTTCTGAAAACCCATTTTCACCGCCATAAAAAAGCACTGATAGACCTACAAGACAATGTTTAAAAAAATAATCTGTCCATTGTTGGCTCAAATGACAGTCTGTAGAGGAGTAAATACAGAGAAATGAATTACAACCAGATAAACTTCATCTAAAGTCATTGCAACTATCACAATTTTTGCAATGATTACTTTTGATATTAAGTTTCCACCTTAAATGTAAAGAAGGCTTTCACCCTGGGTTGATCTTCAACCTCTATTTTTGCCTCCCGTGTTGTTGTACATTAATAGATGCCTAATTTAACCATTGAAAATTATGGACAAATCTTTTTACTGCATTTCAGAATTTTTTTTTAGTCCTATTGTAAATTTATGGGGAATACTTTTTGTATGTTGTAATCAAATTAAATCAATCTTCATAATTTTTAATTCATTAAATTTCCAGTTTTTTAAACAAAATAATTTTAATCTATACATTACTATTGAATGCATGAATTATTTCTTTTGACCAAATACTAACTACATTATACTCATGAACCGCTCACTTAAAATAACTGTTCTACCACAAAAAATGTTATAACATAGGTAAATTATTAAATGGAAACATTTTGGTGTGTTTTAAAAAT